AGGTTTAGAAAATCCACGGGAAATGTTAAAATGAGAAATCCACATACCCTATTACTAAAGCAATATCCAGGGGGTATTTTTTGTAAACCCTCAATAGGGGGGGTGCGGTTAATAAATGGAATGGCCCATTATGTATTAAAGTTTGTTATGAAAAATAGCGGCGCCTTACCTAACACTACGTTTCGTTGCCATGGGGGCGGCCATGGCCTTGTAAGATTCGCCTCTGTCGACCGAATGGTTTTCATCTTCGATATCTATAACTTGTCCGTCTGCCTGGTCCGTTGCCGACTCTTGGGAACGTCTTCCCGAACTAGTGCGCCGATGCAACGATACACCCCTTCTGTTTCCCGCACTTTGCGATGGGCCCCCAGCGACATTTCGATTATTGATATGACTCGGTAATCCTTCAAATAATTTATTGCTTCGGCTGTTGCCAAGACCTTTTGCAAACAAAAACGAAATACGTCGCTTTAGAATAGGAAACTACAAGAATACACAGTACTGTTGTACTTGTCAGAAAAACAATAACCTGACAAATAGCAGTTTAAAAACGTAAACACAACCGCTGTGAAATTTGGTCGGATTTTAAACAGACGGCTACAAACTTGAAATGGCTATAAATTAATTATCATTCCCAGGTAGTTAGGAAACCAGAGCTTTAGTTTAAAGTTATACATTCATACCTTCTTCGTCGTCGTTGCTGTCCTCATCTTCAAAAGAATTTAACGCGATATCTCCACGTCCTTCTTCAACATCAGACGCCATATTCGTTTCGCCGTCAGGTTTTGTTTGAACTGCCAATGGTCCGACGCGCCTATTGTGCATTCTCGCGATACCGAAAATAACACTCTGGCACCATTATTTTCGGCCTGACAGCATTGGATTTTTATGTAAAGTACCAAAACTCTTTGTCTAAATTCAAAAGCACTGTCGGCAAGCTCAGGCACTTTATTTACACCTCTCAGTCACCTGAGGACTAGATCAAAATACTGCGATCTGATTGGCTGGTTCACCGGTTGCAAATAAAATCAAACCCCTATTTCAATAAAAATGTCTTTTTATATTCGTCTGAAATAAAGTTTAGAAAAATTGAATTTTAAGCTTTGAAATCTTACAGTGCTGTTACCGAAGTGCGTTTAGGACTTTGGTTTAAAGTGAACTGAAAGGAAAGAGCCCTCAGAATAGAGAATATCGTGGTAGTACGTGCCGAAAACTGACGTCATTTATATTAAAAAAAAGGTCAATAAGGAAATACTATGGGAAGTCCAATATGAGACAGGTTAAATACTGTACCCACCCCCAGCGATTAAAACCAGTCTTTCTTATTTCACGATCATTTTTTGACCATAACTACCGTTCCAAGTTCCAAAAGAATAACAGGAACAAAAAGGTCAAATTCTTTTCTAAAATTAACAAAAATGGCTTCATAATCGCTTCCGTTACGTTTTAAAAGTTCTTTATTTTCGTTAATTTCCGAAAAAAAATTAAATTGGATTATGTCATATCTGAATGAATGCTATTTGGAAAAAGAGGGACAGGGGGGTGAGGAGGCAGTGAACGGGAGGGGGGGGGGGGTCAAAATAGAATTTTTTCAAAATGGTTGCCAACAAAGAACAACATCAACATGTGTTAAATTCCTCGTATAATTCCACAACTATTTGTAAAATATCTTGGATGTAAACTAAACATTTAAAATAAAAAAATATATAGCTCAAGTGAGAATCACAATTGCGTCAAAATGGGAGGTTTGTTCAGTAAGAAAAAGCCGAAGAAAGAGTCGAAAATTACGGAACAAGATAAGGCCATTTTGGTAGTGTGAAAGTAAAAGTACAATTATGACAATTATTATACGACCCGATTTTAGGGATAGATCGTTTAATTTCGTCCCAAAGATGGGCGGTGGTTTCAATGGGTTGTCAAAGTGCTTGTGTTAAGGGGTATATTTTAGAATTTAGTCAAACAATGTGTCAAGTGTCAACTAGCCTATGTGCTATGTCATTATTGTCATACTGCAAACAGCAAACATCAGAGCACAGAGTAGAGACATACAGAGACGTAACTGACCGTTGTAAACACTGCGGAAGCTTATGTTTTCAGGTACCCACTTTTTTCAGGCGACCAGGAAAAAAATGATAAACTGTGTGTGCTCGGCAAGTTTAAAGTGAGTCGTCATCAGGTCGTCATCCAATCAGATGCATGCATCTAGTAACTTGCCGAGCATGCGCACAAAAAAAGTGGCCACACTAGTTACGTCTCTGTATGTCTCTACTCTGTGATCAGAGCAAATGCCTTTTAGCACAGAGTAGATACATACAGAGGTATATTACTGGCCGTTGTAAACACTGCGGGAACTTACGTTTTCATCTACCCACTTTTTCATGAGCAGTTAAAGCGAGCCATCATCCAATGCGATGCATGCATCTAGTAACTTGTCGAGCATGCACACGAAAAAAGTGGGTACACTACACACATAAAAACGCACAAGTTGTAACAAACCTGCAGCAGGGTTGTAGCAATGCTGTTCCAACAACTTGTCAACAGGATGTGTTCGCACTGCTTGTTCCCAGCTTGTTGACAAGTTGTCAACGGCTTGTTGGCAACTTGCTACAAGGTTGTTGAGCTCAACAGACTCAGTTACAAGTTGTTCCAACAATTTGTTATTGTCCTGTAATTCAACAACTTGACAACAAGTTATGAGTAACAACCTTGTAGCAACTTGATAAAATAACAGCATTGTTACAACTTGTTGACAAGCTTGCTACAAGCCTGTTGCGAAGACATCTTGTTGACAAGTTGTGAGATTTTTACGTGAGCAGTTATAACTCTGTTTATGTATCTACTCTGTGCTTTGAAATTGTGGGTCCGATTCTCGTTGTGGATTCCATAATAATTTAGTGAAGAGTCTAGCTGTCATGCCCCCACTATAATTACTATCTATACTTTTTTCTCTTGATAAATTGAGTGTATTTGGTTGTTATTTTAGGCTTTGAAACAGCAAAGGGACAAGCTGAAACAGTACCAGAAAAAAGTATGAAACTTATGTCTATATTTATGATCTCATAAGAAACAATTCCAGTTGGCATATTTGGGCCAATTTCCAATTGGAATAATTTTCTGTCTGAAGTTCAATGTCAGATTCAAACAGGAAAATTTAAATTCCTAATGGATTCCAATTGGAATTTGGGCCAATTTCCCATAGAAATTCCTATATGGAATTTTAATTGGATATTTTTTGTTTGCAAATGGCTGTAACACTTGTACTATTTATTATTTATATATTAGATTCAGTTAAATCTTGAAAAAGAGAGACATGTGGCCAAAGAATTACTAAAACAAGGCAAAAAGGAGTTAGTATATATAATATTATAAGCTGAAATAGTTACTTGAAATAGTGGAACATTAGTACAAAATAAATTCATGTCCTAATCAGTGGACATTTTTTTCTTGAAGCAAAGCGATGTCATTGTTAAAAAAGAAACGTGTACAGGAGCAGTTACTAAACCAAACGGATGGACAACTTGATAACTTAGAACAAATGGTAATATAAAGTGGTAGAAAAAATAATATAATAATAATAATAATAATAATAATAACGAATTTATTGTAGCCTTCCATTTTACATGGCTCTTCATCTACAATGTAACTACTTATTTACTACTTATATACTACTTATAATATATGCTACTTCTTATCATTAGTTAAAACATT